TACATTTTATATATCCATAGAATACTTTTCTTTATTGGTTTCTAACAGTATAACAATACTCTTTGATTTCAAATTGTGAGAAATGGTAAAAGAAGTCGTTACCTCTTTTCTTTTCTACTATACCTTATCGTAAAAGACACATAAGTAAGTCTTATTGGATCAATATTGGGTACATTATTTTTTTTAGTACTAAGTTACATCAAAAAATGAATCTTCTTTGTTTGACCAATGGTAAACGTCCTTTTAAAAGAAGAAGGTGTCTGAATTTATTTTCCTTTATTTAGTGTTTTGTTACACTTCTAAAGAAACGAGTTGTTAGCGTAATTAATAGTAATAGTTCATTACTTATAACTGTATGGATTTGGAAGAATGCACATATCGTTGTTGTTTTTCTCATTTTTTAATTGTTCAATATCGTTATGTTAACGATAATCTACGTTGACTTCAGTCTTTATTTTTAGTGGAATGTCAGACTCTATCATGAAGCCTGAGATGCAAAAAGTATCAAGTTACTTTTAATCTATAAGTATTTTTTCTACTTTTATAGTATATGGTATAGGAGAATCAAACTTCGTGACCTCGTTATGGGTGGAGTCTTGTATGATTTGGACTTCTTAGGTTTTTCCTCAATTTTGACATAAAGTTTTAATAGTTTTTACTCTTTTGGTTGCATTTTATAAATTTTTCCAAGACAGTACATTTCATAGTCTTAGCCTTCTTGAAATAATTTCTTGCTTTGTTAGTAACTATTGTTTTTATATTAACAATAAAAATAGGTTTAATGGCGTTAAAATAGTTTTAATTATTACATTCATTCTGTTCAGTTTCTTATCTGCCTATGCTTGTCCACTAAAATAAGGTTCTTGAATTAACTGTGTAGTGTAAGCTTAAGTTGATTTCTACTGAATAAGTTTGTTGTATCTGAGTAATGATTTCTCTTGTTTACTGTTCAAGGTTAATTTAAGGATCTCATAGCAAAGCTTATACGACAATCAACTGTTTTATTCTACTAATTGAACCTCACTACGTTTAATCATAAATTTAGGTTATAGTTTACTGGTACTGCTAAATAAGGGTACGATGGTTCCACGTAGACAGGTCTATTTTATCCATATTGAGGTATTATGACTGCATATAGTTTTTAACAACCATAAAGGGTTCGATTTACTAGTAAAAAATGTATTATAACTCTAATTGTGTTATCTTGATGCACAACATCTTATTTGCTTAAAGTTATTATTTTTTCAGTATAGAGATGCTCTATTTGGGCAACAAATTCTAGGTTCTCTGCTAGATTTTTTACATTCTGGGCTATGGTTCTAGATATTTTTAAAAAAAATTATTTTGTATACGATTGACCTATTTGTAGATTATGCAAAATGTCGATTAAATATTTATGAAATCAAGTGACATGATGTAAGATAGCCTCAGTATTTCTAAGATGAGTAAATATATACATTATATACCTGTAGAGAGTGAGATCTTGTCCTGGAGTCCATATGTTAGTAAATTATTGGAAAATATACTCATGATGTTTCTTAGTGTTTTATTGTTATTTAAACGCAGTTGTAAGAACTTGCCTAGTTTTTTTTAAGAATTTGATGAGTTTTTTTGATCACCATGAAAACTGTTAATTTTAGTGCTCACACCATTAGTTTTGTCTTCTGTCACTGAGCTGGAAAGTCCTTAAACAATACTTGTAGTTATTTAAAAAAAAGTTAATCTTTTTGCTTTTAGTCTAGGAGGTACAATAACGTTATTCCTTGTATAAATTTTCATAGTATTTATTATTTTTTATACTGTTGTTTGAAATTTTTTAACGTATTATCTTCGAATTCAAGAGATCCATTTGTGTGCTACTCATACCATTAGGATAACTGAATTCCGTAGTATCATATTAAAAATATTTCATTTTATCACTAAATAGATGTGTGTTCCAATATAAAAACATATTTATATTAAGCCACAGTGCTATCTTTCAATCAACTGTTTTAATTCTTGTAAAACCAACTCACTTAAAGTATATTCTCAGTTCTTTTTCTAGTAATTATATACTATAGTTGCCATGGTTAGCATAGTTGACATCTACGCAATCAGGCAATGTTGTAATTAAAATAACTAATATTATCTTTACGCTGTTTTTGGCTCTGGAAGACATATAGAATATGATTTTTACGAAAATGCTATTGTTGGGAAACTAGTTTGAATGTATCTGTGTGCTCACATATAGTTTAACCATTGTCTTGTTAAAGTAAGATATTATTTTTTTTGAAACTGTTCTTACTTTTAAGGGTTTCTAAAAGTAACTATAATGTATATGGGAACGCCGTTATTTCTTAACCTACATGCAGTCTTCTGTTTTAGCATTTAACGCTTTATTTTTTATCACGTTTTTTTTTGTGTTTTCATTTTTATTTGATTGATTTTTGCTGTGATTTGTGTTTCTTGAAGTTATTGAGTAAGATCTTGCAAACATAATAGATATCTTTGAAAACTTTTATTTTGAGGTATCTTTAAAGGAAATACTGCTACTTTTCCAAAGTATTTAACAGGGCGTAAAATTTGTTCCTGCATGTATATTCGTATTGTAGGTAAAAGCTGCCAATTTTTTTTAAATTATGTCAGTCATCATGAGTTTCAGAGTAAGGTCTTATAAAGTCAGCTAAGGCAGCATGACTTTGCTTTAGTGCTCTATTTGATTCAGAATGATGTGCTAATGTGGTTAGGTGATTAGCTTCTTAGGGTTCTTATGAGTTATTCCAGTAAATAAGACATAAATAAAGCATGTCTGTATAATAAATTTGCATGAGTGAATTAGTAAGCGTGCTTGGTCGTAAATCTGGTGCAAGGACAATTTTAATTTATTTAGTCGAATGACACTTGCTTGAAAGTAGATTACCATTTGGTGTCATTCTCAGTTAACTGACAGTATCAACGGAAACCTCATCAAAAGCTTTAATAGGAGTATCCGTAAGTTGTTTAGCTTTTTTTCTTTTTGGTATTTGGCTCAATTTTTTACTAACTAACAATATGCCAGAGGAATACTACTTTACTTCGAAAAATATACTTCATTAGGTTAAAAAACTATATTTGCTCATCTTACTCAGTCAAAAAGTATCCTAACTTCATGGTTGTCATCTACTAGATATTTTGCGTTGATAACTATATTATCTAAATTCGTTAACGCTTACACCTTTTTATGTAACCACTTAATTTAAAAACCATTTGTTGGAACGTAGCATATTTGCCAAATTAAAAACTAAAAAACGTACGAATCCTTCTAACTAGCCCATAATATCTGCCATGTGAGGCAATAGATAAGTATGACCAATGTCTTTTTTAATTTAGTTCTTACTTATCAACTAGTACCCTTTATCTTTGATTTTCGTGACTATCAGATTTCTTTACAACAGTTCAGAGAGGTGAATTACACAGCAGGGACGTAGGCTCATATGTTCCGTCGTTAAGTTTCTTGCTACGTATTCTTCTAAAAGTTTCCTATGTACTGGTGGGTGACGATACTCTTGAGTATTGATATTTTTGGTGTGTTTGCCACTTTTATCAGTTGTTATGTCAGTGGGTAACATAAAATTGCCATCTCTCTTTAACAATATCAATTTGTCATATTTCACTGGAAAATGCATGTTAGCTAATATGTCTCTGAATTATTTACATTTTTGTCTATCTGACTTCTGGGGTCAGCCAACGATGTATTTATCCTAAAATTTTTATTGATCATTTTTATTACTCCGACATTCTTTTTCTTTGCTAGTGTGAAGGGTCGTAGCTCAAGTTGGATTTTCCTGTAATTGTTTTAAAGTTTTATTGCTATCCGTGTTTCTCAATTCCTTAGTACCTGCTATATTACTAAACGTGTTTTTTGAAAAGCAAGTGTTAGTCATTACGTCATTATCAAATACTATAGCGTCATGACAATACTATAGTGTGACTCGTTGTATATTACAAAAGTTTTGACCTAACAAACTGCTACCTTCATAAAAATGTCATAAAAGCATAATATTTTGAATACATGTATTCTATAAATACAAGGTTCGCTAATACATGTGAGCTTAATCTGTATTTTTTAGTGGGTTACGGTGGTATATGTCATCCCTGTACATTCGTTATGTACAAAAGGTTAGAGAACCCGTCAGCCAGAAAGCATTTATTTTTATTTTTTTAACCAAATTATAAATATAACTCGATATCTATTAAGTATATTGTTTACCAAGATCAGTTCCCTGGTAATACTTGCTTCTCTACCAGTGAGTGTGCAGATATTTTTGTGCATTGCGTAATGATATTTACGCATTAAAGTGAGGGTGCCAACATACATACACACATTTAATCTTCTTAAACAACTTTTTGTAGGTTACTTGGTATGCGCATACACTCGTATTCAATAATCGCTCTCCATTAATTTTTTTAACTTTAAAATAAAAATTGGTCACCAATTTCCTATTGGTTTTGTGATTGTGGCGTCTTAGCTTGAATGTGTATGATAGGCGTGTGTATGCCTATCGAACAAAAAAGTGCTCCTATTTATTCAAAGAAGATCGTTTTGCAAAAATCTCCATTGCATTTGATTTGTAATCTAGTTCTCTTCAATTGAATATTTTTTTCTTTTTTGGCCAGTGAAAATAGGACTGCAAGCTTTTTTCTTACGCTTTCTACAGATCTCTGCGCTGGATGGCTCTCTCTCTCTCTCTATGTGCGTGATTGCACCAAACATACTGCTCGGCGGCACTTAGATCCACGTTTCCAACACATTGAAGATCTTGGGTATTACGCTTGACTCCACATTAAGTTTCAGAGCGCAGTGTGGCATAACATCTAATAAATGCAACGCTGCTCTTTACCGTTTCCGGAAATGTGGTACATCTTTGCTCTTCGACTGCAAGCTGATGCTGGTCAAATCTTTGGTCATTCCATACTTCGATTATTGCTCGAGTCTGTTTTTCACTTTGTAAAATGAGCTAGAAACGAAACTCCGTAGAAGTATGAATGCCACAGTTCGATTTGTGACGGGTACTCGGAAGTGGGACCACATCACCCCTGACTACAAGAGGCTTAGGATGTTACCTTATCCTCTTAGAGTTGACTATCTCACTCTTACTTCTCTGGCAACTATCTTGCAAACTGGTCAGCCCGAGTACCTTACGAATCGATTTGAATTTAGATCTTGTGATAGGCCTGGTACTAAGCGTGCCACAGACGTCGATCTAATTGTTCCACGTGCTAGACTGGATTATTTGCGCAACTCATTTTTTGTAGGAAGTGCGAGCGTTTGGAATAATGTTCCTGCAAATGTGCGAAAATTATATTGTCGGCCGTGCTTCAAAGAAGCACTTTATAATCATTATTTGAGTAAGGTCTAGCAAACACTTGTGTTACTTAGTCTTAGTTAACGCCAGTGTTAGTTAATACAGTACTTTTCCTTGTTACATCATTACAATTGTTAATTTTATTANTTTTTTTAAATTTTCTTTTTTTTTTTTTCCTCATTATATGATGCCCTACTATAATTTGGGCACCGCTTTAGCCCCAAATATTACTTATGTAAACAATCACATTGTAACCTTTTGTACTTTGCTTAGGCTATACAGGAACTCGAGTATGTTTCGCTAAGTTCTTAGCCTCTTTAAATAAAAATTCAATTCAATTCTATGTCACCGCTACTAAAGTAAATGTTTCAATTTGTGGAATATGCCCGTATTTATGGAGTACGAAAATTCATATATTTGTCATACAACTAACTTGATAAAAAAATTCTGGTAGTCGTATATTTTATGTATCTTTATGAATTCACAAGTAAAGATTTCTTTTTCATACAGTAAATGACCAATTTTTGAGATGATTCCATAAATAGGGACAAAGTAGTACATAACCTATCTTCGAAACTGTACGTATTAGGGCACCAAACTTCAACAAGGAATTTGCACACTTCTAGTAAAAAAATAAGCAATATAATTATTTTTATTAAGCAAAATAGTGTTATGAAAGTGAAAAAACTTTGATTGTCTTAAAATATTATACTGAATCTGCGTTCTTAAAAAAGTTTCACAAATAGGGACATAATATGGNCAACAAGGAATTTGCACACTTCTAGTAAAAAAATAAGCAATATAATTATTTTTATTAAGCAAAATAGTGTTATGAAAGTGAAAAAACTTTGATTGTCTTAAAATATTATACTGAATCTGCGTTCTTAAAAAAGTTTCACAAATAGGGACATAATATGGAACAATAGGTACAACGGTTATCTTTTTATAAAAATAAAGTATTTTAACAAATAAGAGCAATACTCAACAATTGAAATAATAATGGTAAATTTTTAGGGCTTCAGCTAATACAAAAATTTCTGTTGTTAAGGCTCACAGTTAAGAAAAAAAAATCAAAGAAGCAAGTTTGATGAAATTTATGGTTGTAATAGGGACATTTACCTTGCTCTGTGCTCCTCCTTCTTTCAGATGTACGCTTTTCTTACACTTTTTGGCTGATGTGTCCCTGCGCTAACTGGCTCTCTCTTTCCTTCTCTGTGTCAATACTGCTACTTTGTGCTCTCCCCTACCATCTAGTGCACGCTTTTTTTCTTACAATTTCTGGCTGAAGGGTCTCCATTCTTAACCCTCCCTGTACACAGGAAATACACGAAAAACATGTATCTTATCGTAACCCACAATAAAGAACTTCGTTTTAAGGAAGAAACCACTGTGAGAATTATTGCAAGTAGTGGATTAAACAAAGTATGTCCAAGAAATTATAAACGAATTTTCAAATTTCTTTAAAACAGAACTAATGGTGCAACATCATTCAAAGAAATTAAAACATTTTAAGAAATAAAATACCAGACGTTTAAAGATACTGCAAGTACAATGGGTTTAGTTGATCATTATTCTTCAATCAATAATACTTTTCAAAAAGTAATAACTTTGAGGTTTCCTAATCAATTAAGTTTACATTAAGACTTTGTTTACAATTAAAACTATGTTGCTCATTTATTTATTTACTAAATTTTTGAATTAAATCAGTAATAATGTAAATGTTTCTATCTACATATACAAAATAAGTTCAATATACACAAAGTTTCACAAATAGAGAAACATTTTTTAGTAAAAAAACGTTTTTCTCATTTATAAGAGATTAAAGTAAAAGTGTTTCAACAAAATATTACACGCANGAATTAAATCAGTAATAATGTAAATGTTTCTATCTACATATACAAAATAAGTTCAATATACACAAAGTTTCACAAATAGAGAAACATTTTTTAGTAAAAAAACGTTTTTCTCATTTATAAGAGATTAAAGTAAAAGTGTTTCAACAAAATATTACACGCAATTTGCGAAAAAAGTGATAAAATTATGAGATAGATTGTTCTGAAAATGAGAAAAAAAGTTATCCATGTAAAGGATTAGGTAATTTTTTTTTCTTAAGATAAAAGAAATTTGTCAGTGGATTAGACTGGTAAGGCATCAGTATTACTTCCAAAAGATCTGACAAGTCTAGACTTTGGTAAGACTGAAACAATACAGAAAGCGTATTCTAAGAATTTAAAAAAGATAACAAGAAATCACGAGTACATTACATAGTTATGTAGGATGAAGCTCTAATGATTTCAGAAGTGCCTTAGAAATAGCTGATAGAAATCGAAAGTATACATGTATAACGTAAAAATATTTTGGAAATAAATTAATTACTTCGTTATGTACAAAAGGTTAGAGAACCCGTCAGCCAGAAAGCATTTATTTTTATTTTTTTAACCAAATTATAAATATAACTCGATATCTATTAAGTATATTGTTTACCAAGATCAGTTCCCTGGTAATACTTGCTTCTCTACCAGTGAGTGTGCAGATATTTTTGTGCATTGCGTAATGATATTTACGCATTAAAGTGAGGGTGCCAACATACATACACACATTTAATCTTCTTAAACAACTTTTTGTAGGTTACTTGGTATGCGCATACACTCGTATTCAATAATCGCTCNATTGATTTATCTTATAAACTGCAGGGCTGGTACTTGCGGACATTATGGGTTATGCTGATTGTCAGCATAAGTTCTTGAAAATACAAGTTTATATACAGCAAGCACGTTTATCAAAGTCAGTTTTTAACAGCTCCCTATTCTTTTTGTAGCCCTCATTACCTGATCATCACCCCCTCTGCCTTTCTTACGAGTTCAAGAATAATTTCGTATTTTCCTGCCTTAATTTTACAAGACTATTGAATAAAAATTCGTAGTTCCCAGAGTGATAATACATGGAACAAGCAGGTTTCTTATTATTTTTATGAACAAACTTAATCTGTTTACGTAAAAAGTTGGAGAACCGATGTCTACTCTGATCAACATAGCCAATACTTTAATCTTTGCAATTAATTTTATAAACAGTATGAGACCTAACTTTCTTTTTTTTTTATAATATTTTTCTCTAGTGTAATCAAATAAATGAGCTTGTTTGAGGGTCTGAAAACAACTTTAAGTCTGAATCTCCAATAGATTCACCTAACCTGTGATTCCAGTTTCAAAAAATAAGGAAGCATAATCATTAGTGCGAAAAAAGAATTGAAACCAATTCTACCCTGATTTTTCGAATGATTTTTTTGTTATTATTTAAATTACTAACTAGTTCTGGCTTTAGAATATTTTTTAGCAAAAAATGCAGAATAGAAGTTGTGTATTAGAAGTTTTTTAGCCTCTTGGGAGTTCTTAGTTCTACATTCACGACCAGAAAATGTAAGAATTTCATCAATAAAAGAAAAAAGTATTTTACGTTTTCTATAGAGTTAATTTTTTAAATGTAATTAGTTTATCAAACCAACATGTTAAAGGATCGGATAACGTAAGAATCACTTACTTCATGGATTCTTAAAAGAACAATTTCTTTCTGTAAAATAAAATTGTTTGTTTTTTTAATAATTTGTGAGTTGGCTTAATATATAACGAACTGTTTCATGAATATGCATTCAAACTAGAGAGAGGGTATGAACCACACTAGAGCAAGAGAAAAGTATTATTTTATAGTAGGAGTTACTTGTAGCAGAGTAAATAGAGTTCTTAGATAGTAGACAAATAATTACTTATTGGATTTTTGAGAAAAGAATTTTTGTTTTGTTTTTAAGAATTAGGTGTAAGATAAAGATAAAATTTAATTTTGATTTTCTCGCGTATGCACTTTGGTAGTGTGGCATAGCGATGTTAAGTCACTGAGATTAAACAAAAAATTCTCTTTAGTTACACATTTTCCTAAAGTTATTATTCTCAAGTTGTCAGTTTCAAAAAAGTTAGGATTCTGATTTTATACATGTATCTATTTTATTTATTTAATACAAAAATACTTTATTTAAGTCAGGGTACCAGGGGCTTTGTGTGCGCAGTGCACAGGGAGCAGAGCCCCGTTACTTGATATATGTCTCTATTGTTAATATTTTTTTCAAACATCCGTGTGCAATGAGCTTACAACATATTTTATAGGAGTACGCCTGCTGATAAAACGACAAGTGTACTATGTATTATGTGCAGAAACTAAAGTGACAGAGCGCAATCAAAAGTATGTATATGGTACTCTCTGCTTCAAGCTAAGAAGAATGTATATTGTGCGGCGATTTCTTTTATAGTATGTGCAGTTATATAGTTAAATGGCTAGATGAGCATCATCTAGAGTGATGCGTACGATTGAAGGCTCTTTCTGCAGAGAGAGAGAGAGAGAGAGAGAGAGAGAGAGAGAGAGAGAAAGAGAGAGAGAGAGATTAGCTGGAGTATAACTTAACACTTTTTTGTCCTAAGAATAGGGGGAATCATTATAGTCTACAGTCTCGTACTGCAATATTAATAAATGCTTATTTGTTTATGTATATGTGTAATCTTCTGCTTGTGTGTTTATATATTCTTGACAGCCTTTAAGAAATCCTTTTTCCAATAAAGCAACTAATTAATTTAATCATGCATTTAGTGAGATTTTTTAATTATTGCGTTTCAGATGAACATCAATTTCTAAAGTGTAAGAATTATTTTTTTGAAGTGCTCATTCTGTTTCTGTTTAAAATTTATCATTTTTTAATAAATTTATACTTGTTTTATAGAAGAAACAGTACTGTTGTGATAGTTTATTAATAGTAATGAATTTTTTTTCCAGCAATTTTCTNTTTTTTTTTTTGAACAGACACACATAACTCTCATACTAACGAAATTGCTGTCCATACATAGTTAACTAAAACATTTTCCTCTTCTTTTTGTTACATCACTCTTTCTAGAATATGATCTAGT